CGTCCACCCCTCTGGGCCATAGCATCTGCCCCTCCAGGCCTCTCGGCCCCGGCATCCACCCCTCTGGGCCCCTCCAGGCCCGTGTCTGCTCATCCAGGTCCCCGTGTCCTCCGCTCGAGGCCCTAGTGTCTGCCTATCTGTTCCGGTATCTACCCCTCCGGGCCCTTCCAGGCCCTGGTGTCCAGCCCTCTGGGCTCTGGTGTCTGTCCCTCCGGGTGCCAGTGTTCCCTGCTCCGGGCCCCTGCGTCTGCTTCTCTGGGCCCCTCCAGGCCCCGGTGTCCCCACCTCAGGGCCCCGGCATCCGCCCCTCCGGGCCCTGGTGTCCACTCACACCATGCAGTGGCTGCGAGGGCTGCACACAGAACAGGTGGCACATCAGTGAGTGTTGGGATGGATGGATGGATGGACACAAAAGCATGCACTGACCGAGGCCAGATGAGCAGCTGAAGGGATGGAGAAAAGAGGGCAGTGGGAGGAGAGAGGGGTGGCTGGCTGGCTTAGAAGCTGAGGAAGCACAGCTAGGTGGGGGATTGGCACAGGGAGAGTGGTCATGGGCATCCAGGCTGGATGACAAGGGTCGGCTTCTCTGTATTTGTGCACTTCTGTGGTGATGGGGGGATCCCCTCACTGCACTGTGTTCATGGGGCCCCACCACAAAGGCCTGGGGGTTGTGCCATGGCCCTCAGGGCAAGGTGGGCCATGGATAGTGAGGGGAAGCCCACACTTGTTCCACGTGCAGCTGGTGGTGCCCCGCGTCGCCCACTGGGTGAAGCCTGCTCAGGAGCTGGGTGGCGGTCACTTCGGCCCAGCCGCCTCCCTGATGCTGGAGAGTGGGGTGGGAAGGGATAGACAGCGTCCACGGAACTCCCAGCTCTGCTTCTTCAAGTTCCTGGGGGGAGGTTGCATCTCCCAGGAGCTGCAACACCTCCAGAAGTTTCTTTGTTCCTACCTTGCCACCCCCATTCCCGTGCAGGGACCTGCTAGGGGGTCTGCACTTGCTGAGATCGCCAAGGCTGGGTGTGTCGAGACAGCCCCTGTCCCTGCCCTGGGGGCCTGGGAGCCTGATGGGCACATGCCTCCTGGAGGTGGGGCCTGATGGGTGGGACGCAGAGGGTGCCAAGCATCTTGCTTCAGGTGCACCAAGCAGTCTGCCTAGCTGGAGGTGGGAATGATTTCAGGTGAGCCGAGCCTCCACTCCTGAAGGCCTCTCACAGTGGAGGATCGGTGGGCAGATTGCCAGCCTGATCATGGAGGCTAGGGCTGGGGCCACAGCCCAGAGAAGGGCCTGGAATGCAGCAGGTGGCCCCAAGTATGGGGATGGTGAACCCAGAGTGTATAGGAAGCAATTCCAGGAGCCTAGTCCCTGTCTGGCTGTGGGGTGAGGGGTGGCTAGACCAGGGCTGCGTGGGGGACTCTGACCTGGCTGCTCACTGAGGGGTAACCAGGTGGTGACCAGGGCAGCCTCAGGTGCGTGTGTAGCTTTGCCCTGGGGCAGTCTCCCTCTCCAGTGGCCTGAATCGGCGGTGAGGCTTGGTGCCCTTCGGACACCTGGGGGCATCATTCCCCCATCGGTCCAGACCACACAAACCAGCCCCCAGGGAAGGCCAGTCAGCTTTTTCCCCCGAGGCCGTGGGGACTGCGCCGAGCTGGGTGATGCCTCCGGTGGGGTGAGCGCTTGTCTATGCCAGGTTGCGCAGCCTCCTTTCGGGGGCAGGGGGCCAGACTCCCCGTGCCGACATTTGTGGTCCCCCTTGGACCGCCCTCTCACTCCCTCCTTCTGCTTGTCCCGATGCCCGGCCAGTCCAGCTTCTCTCTCCACTGTCCCTCCTGGGGTCCCACCCCCCCTGCTGGTCCTGCCCACCCTTCATTCTCAGGCCCACCTGATGTGAGGGGTTCTCGCCTCCCAGCCTCTGCTGAAGGTGCTCAGTCCCAGCCTGGGGGGAGATGGCGAGATGGAGAGGGCCCTCCCCCGGGGTCTGAAGTCAGGCATGTAAATGGTCCTGCCAAACGGAGGGTCAGGGACACAAGTCCCGCCATCCTGTCTGGTCCAGCTGAGACTTTACTCGCTTCCCTGGGACAGAGGCGCCTCAGCCCAGGCTGGGCCTCCAAACCTGTCTGTGAACCACAGGTTTCTCCTCTGGCCCAAGGCAAGGGAGAAGTTCCAGGTGCTACAAGGCACACATGAGCACAGGTATCTGTGGGCTATTGTGGGAGGGCCCACGATCCTGCAGGCTTCGGGGCGTTGAGGGGTTGTCCACGTGAGCCCCCTCTCCGTGCGAGTGTGGCATCTCGGGTCTGAGGGCCTGTCTTCCTCACGTTGGGTTCGGTGCATTTCCTGCCTTCCGTGGTAGAACAGAGGGATAAAGACGCCGAGCCAGGCCCGTCCTGGAGCCAGTAGGTCCTGGTGCCTGGGCCAAGGGTGGGGTCGGGGGGTGGAAGGGGGAGGTGGGCGCACAGTAGGTTTGCAGGTTTAGTGAAACAAAAGAAAAACCAGACACCCAGTTAAATTGAATTTCACATTTTATGTATATGTGTATATATATATACACACACACACACATATATATATATATATATACTTTTTTTTATGTAGAATTTTTTTAGTCACTCCGGCTAGGGGTTTATCAATTTTATCAATCTTTTTAAAGAACCAATTATTAGTTTCATTGATTTTTTTTCCTATTGTTCTTTATTTTATTTTTTATTAAGGTATCATTGATATACACTCTTATGAAGGTTTCACATGAAAAACAATGTGGTTGCTACATTCACCCTTATTATCAAGTCTCCCCCACATACCCCAATGCAGTCACTGTCCATCAGTGTAGTAAGATGCCACAGAGTCACTATTTGCCTTCTCTGTGCTACACTGTCTTCCCCATGATCCCCCACACACCATGTGTGCCAGTCATAATACCCTTCAATCCCCTTCTCCCTCCTTCCCCACCTGCCCTCCCTCCCCACCTGCCCTCCCTCCCCCTTCCTTTTGGTAACCACTAGTCCCTTCTTAAAAGTAATTTTAAGTATAAGTATGTCCCATGCAGTAATTGGGATATACTTACACTAAACACTGTCTGTTTATCTGAAATTCAAAGGTGACTGGGCAGCGTGTATCTTACCTGGCAGCCCTCCAGGGCAGTCTGGTGAGGCTTCCTGGAGGAGGCAGGTCTTGAGCTCAGCAGGAATGTGGTTGGAGAAGGGATGAGATAGCAGGTGGGGGATCAGCAGGGTCAAAGGCCAGGTGGTGGGCAGGACAGAGAGGACAGGTCACGGAAGTAGGGTGTGATGCAGTGAAAGACAACCCTGGGCCACATTGGGCCAGCTGGGTGGGGGGCGGGGGCAAGGCCATGGCAAGGGTCCAGGGCCAGTGTAGGGGGTGGGGGGTGTGGTGTGGTGGGAGGTGGCAGGGCTTGCCAGCCTGGTCAGTGTGAGATGGGGGCTCCCATGGACAGAACCCCCAGACTCCCCCTCTGACACCATACCCATACCCCTGGGACACTATGGAACCCCTGCACCTCCCCAGGGAGCTGCCAGCTGTGGGTTGGGGTCCTTGTCACCTGTGCACACTGTGTGCTCAGCCACGCTGAGGCATCACCCAAAGCCCCGTGGGCAGACGCTGGGATTGCTGGAGGCTGTAAGAGGCGGTAGTCTTGCTGTGTTGGGTGCCAAAGCCGGGGGCCCTCTCTGCATCTTGGCCCCTGGGCTCTCCCCGACCTGCTCTGTCTGCTCTTGTCCCCCACCCACCAAGGGCCTGGACCCTCTGTGGAAGAGGCCCTGGGTCACTTTATGGGAGTCTCAGCACCTGCTGTACCTTTGCTCACAGAGAGGAAATGAGGCCCAAGCCTCCCCCGACCCAGCCAGTTCTGCCCCCTGCCTGTGCAGCTTTAGCACATATATGAGTATTCCTGCAGAGGGGCATGTACTCCCCCAACACCAGCACCTGTTGCCTGGCAAGGCCTCACCAGCTTGCCCACCTGTGTCCTCCCCTGTTCCTGGGTCCGTGTGGGGCTCCCGCTGCCATGTGAGGTCCCTGTGTTCCCCTTGTCTTTGGCCATCTGACCCCTTGAGTCTGCCCAGGCTCTGGAGAAAGTATGTTTTTTCTCATGCTGAGACGGGACTATAGGTTTCAGGGAGGGGGCCACATACTATCATGTCACATCCTGCCGGGGGTCCTGACTTCTAAATGACACTGCTGTGACTTTACCTTCATTACCTGGCCCGTGCATCTAATAGGTTCTCTGTAAAATGACTCCTTTTCCCTTTCCACACATTCTTCCTCAGTCGCTAAGTCCCGCACACACTCAACTAGGGAGGATGAAGCCCACGTCTTGGAGGGAGGAGGCTAGAATGTGTGACATTCATTAATGCTGCCACTGTCACTAAAGGGGAGACTCGGAGGCTGTCGTGCCCCTTCCACAGCTTTATGTTTTGACCCCCCTGATGCTGGAGCTTCTGGCCCAGGAGGTGCTCTTCTGCAGGAACAAGCCCCCTCTGTCTGCCTCCCCAACCCCAGGACGAAGAGAGCCTCCAGATCTGGGAGGGGCCCGAAGGGGACAGCTTCCCGATGATGGAGATGAACGCTCGTGAGGTGCGTCTCCATTTGGACGCTGCCGTGCTTGGTCTCCCCACTGCCCCATGCCCTGCGCCTGTCCCTCCCAGCCCGGTCCCAGCCCCACACCCTTTTTCCTCCAGACTGAGGCCTCTGAGCAATGGGACTATGTCCTTGTGGCCGGTTCTCGTGCCCAGAGAGACCCCAGATGGGCCCGCCGGCAGCAGCAATTCCTGGAGGAGCTCGAGGGAAAGGGCTTCCATTACAAGGTGGGCTGGTGAGGACCCGGCATGGGCACCGGTCAGCAGTGGGGGCAGGGGTCACGGGGCCGGTGGGTCCTGGGAGGGGTCTGGAGAGGTGGCCTGTGGCCTTGCCTGAGGTGGAAGGGACAGGCCATCCCTGTAGACAGAGGGGTGAGGGTCCCAAGCTGTCCCCTGCTCCCAGGTGATAGAGGACCAGGAGAAGGTCTTCTTTGGGATCCAAGCTGACAGCAGGGTCTTCGCCCTGTATCACACACTCCTTATGGAGCCTGAGGGTCCTGTCCCCAGGGTGGAGCCAGCCAGGCCCATCCCCATCCTGGCCACCACCAGGTGAGAGGCTGGCTGAGAGTCAGGGCCAGGGGGCCACGCCCACCCCCGTGCCTGGCCCAGGTGAGCAGTGAGGGAGGCTCCAAGGTGTGGTTTCAGGGCAGAGGTCCAGGGGGAGGGCTTTGTTCCTCAGTGTCCATGTCTGTGATGGGGGTTCAAGAGTCCTCCCCCCTTAGAGTGTTCTGGGGATCACACGTGACTGTGTTCCTGGCCTTAAAGGGTGGGCATGGTCTGGAGAGGCCAGGAGGACTCTCCCTGCCATCTCTCTGGGCTCTGAGGTCGTCTCCCACACACCTGGAGTGTGGGTCCCAAGCTCTCCTCTAGACCTAATGCCCCTCCTGGACACCTGTCCCTCCCAGGCACTCACCTCCTGTCTCTCCACCCACTGATCAGCAGCTCTCTACGCTGGCCCCCCATCCTCCATGCTGGCCCCCCATCCTCCACGCTGGCCCCTGTCCTCCCCGAGTCCCTCCTCACTCACTTGTCCCTCCAGCCCAGCTGGTGCCTGGTTAGTGGGAGACCAGCAAAGAAGCTCCTGGCATCTGGATAGGAGGCGATGGAGGGCCCTCCTGGGATGCAGGAGGCCTGGCTCATCTCCAGAGGCACATGGGGAAGAGGGATGGGTCGAGACACCTTGGTGGGGCCGCGGGGAGCAGGCGGGGGGGTCCTCACCTCTGGGACATTTGGGAGGCCCTGTCTCATAGGGGGTGATGCAGAAGGGTGTGGCTCCGCAGTCAGATGCGCTGCTGTGTCACGTCCTGGTAGCACTGGGCAAGTCACTCCGTCTCTCTGAGCCTCAGTCTCCACATAGGCAAATGGCTGCCAGGGGTATAATAGAGGGTCCCTGAGTACAAAGGTGTAGGGTATGCTCTGGACATATGGGGGCTCCAGGTTGGAGGTGTGGCTGCAGGTGCGGGGTTGGGCCAGTGTCTGGCAGGGAATGGTGTGCAGGACTGAGGGTCAGGGTCCTGGGAGGAGTGGGGCCACCCCTGAGAAGCCCGTCGTGGAGCCACAGGACAGCTGGACCACGGGAGGACCGAAGGAGGTGGGGGGATGGGCTCCTGATGAGTCCTGGATTCTCCAGTCAGGGCAGGTAGGCCTGGGGCTCCGCCTGGCAGGGCAGGAGGGGAGGGTCCTGGGACTTGGCCAGACAGGCGATATCCACTGAGGGTGGGGCCATCCTGAACCAGCTCTTGTGTTCCAGAATCCGAATCGTCAACTTTGTACTGAACAGCAAGATGGCAAATGGTGGTAAGGGCCAGAGGGGCAGGTGTCCTTTCTCAGCCCACCAGGGGGCTGCTGGCGTTGGGGAGCAGTTGGGTCCTCCCACCCCTCACTCCCTGTGACCCCGGAATCCCTGTGACTGCAGACACACTAGAGGACTTGGTCAGGGAGGGGGTCTTTGAGACCAGATTCGCTCTGCACAAGGTGAGGCTGGGCTGGCTGGGAGGCGCCTGAGGGTGGGGCCCGGGGCAGCAAGCGCACTGTCTGCACCTGTGGCCAGGGGCCCGAGGCACTGGTGAAGACGTGGGCCCAGTGGAGAAGCATGGTCCACAAGCAGCCGATTGATGCTATCAGGTACTGCCCCAACACCCCCCAGAAACTCCTGTGCCTCCATGTACAGCCCAGTGCCCTCCAGACACCCCATGCCCCCCAGACACCCCAGTGTACATGTATAGAGCCCTGTGCCCCCAGTAAATACCCCTGCACCTCATATACAGTCCAGTACCCCGCAGACACCCCAGTGCCCTGTAGACACCACTGTTCCCTCCTGTGGCCCCCCCCACAGACACCCATTTAGACCCACTGATGCTGTCCATAGACACTCCTTGCCCCCACGTGGCATGTCCCATCTAGGCACTGGCCTGTGACGGTCGCCCTACTGGGGGCGGCCCTGATGGGAAGCTGTGCCGGCAGGGACTACTTTGGTGAGAAGGCGGCCCTGTACTTCGCCTGGCTGGGCTGGTACACCTACATGCTGGTGCCTGCTGCCGCCATGGGCCTCATTGTCTTCCTGAGTGGCTTCGCCCTGTTCGAGGCAAGCCAGATCAGGTGGGGGCCGGGGCTGGTAGCCTGGGTGTGGAAGGGCTGGGATGGGGTGAGGGATGGCGTGGAGGGGTGGGGAGGGGTGGAGGACCAGATGACATGGGGGGTCAGAGCGGGGGATGGTAGTTGGGGGGCTGGGGGCGGGGTGAAGGATGGCGAGGATGGCGTGGGGGCCAGGGAGGGGCTGTGGCTGTCCCAGCACCCGCCCGGTCCCCGCACCCTCAGCAAGGAGATCTGTGAGGCCCACCACATCCTTCTGTGCCCTCGTGGTGACAACAGCCGCAGGTACCAGCGGCTCTCGGACACCTGCACTTTTGCCAAGGTTTGCTGCCTCTGGGGGTCCACTCCAGGCCCTGCACACCCTGTGGGAGGGCTGGCTTGCCTGTCCTTCTGGAGAAGGGGGAGCTGAACTCAGCCCCTGCAGAGCTGGGCTCACCCTTCCCCCCGAGCATGAAGTGGGCAGAAGGCTGCCCAGCCCTGCATGCCCCTCTCCCCAGCTCACCCACCTCTTTGACAACGAGGGCACTGTGCTGTTTGCCATATTCATGGCTCTGTGGGGTGAGTCACTGCAGGCCCCTGGTGGGGCCAGCCTGAGCTCCAGGGCCAGTCCTGCCCCCAGTGCCCTTTGCTGCTGCCCCCAGCCCACCCAGGGACGCACCATTACATGTCTCTTCCTCTCGGCTGCAGCCACGGTGTTCCTGGAGATCTGGAAGCGGCAGCGAGCTTGTGTGGTCCTGCACTGGGACCTGTATGGGTGGGATGAGGACCAGGTGAGGTGGGTGGTGATCCAGGCGGGGCTGTGTTCCCGGTGGCCGATTGGCCCCACACCTGGGTCTGCTGTGCCTGAGGCCTGGTGCCCGTGTCCACAGGAGGAGATGGCACTTGAGCTCATTAACTGCCCCAACTACCAGCTGCGGCCACACCAGCACTCCTACCTGAGAAGCACCATCATCCTCATCCTGTCTCTGTTCATGGTACTCCTGGGGGACGCATGGTGAGGCTGAAGGCCTGGGCCGCGGACGGCCCCCCTGAGGCACTGCCTGCCTCGGCTGCCCCCTCCCCCAGGTCTGCCTCATGGTCGGCATGGCCCACGTCCTGGTGGTCTACCGCGTCCTGGCTGCTGCCCTCCTCAACGCAGCCGTGCCCTTTCTGGGGAGGCAGGTGACCACGGCTGTGGCCGTGACTGGGGCGCTGGTCCACTATGTGACTGTCGTCATCATGACCAAGGTGGGCAGGTGGGGGTGGGGAAAGGCGGGGGCTCTCCACTGAGGCCCAAAATGAATCTGCTGGTCTCCCCTCCTGCAGATCAACAAGTGTGTGGCCCTGAGGCTTTGTGACTTTGGTGAGAGGAGGGTCCCCAGCCCCTCTCTGCCTTCCAGGGGACCCTTGGAAGGATTCGGGGTCGGGGTCTTGAAGCCCTGGGAGGGGAGGGACGGGGCCCTTCCAGCTGTCTCTGCTGCCTCTCCCTGGAGACAGGTGAGGGTGGCATGTGTTCCTGAGTTGCCAGGATGGGGACAGGCTGAGCGTGGAACTGTCCTTGGGTTGGGCAAGGAAGGGCCCTCTTCTTATTCTAGAGAAGCCCAGGACCTTCTCGGAGCGAGAGAGCAAGTTCACCATCAAGTTCTTCACACTGCAGTTCTTCGCCCACTTCTCCTCCCTCATCTACATCGCCTTCATCCTGGGCAGGTGAGGCCCTGCCACCCACCTCCTCTCAACACCCCCAAGAAAGAAAGGAAAATACCTGCTCTAATTTTTAAAAAACTTCATGCTCAGAACAGGTGAAACCCCATGGGTGACAGCTGTGACCGCTTGGCGGGTCCTCCCAGACTTTTTACACGATTAAGTACACACACATACCCCTGTGGACACCAAAGGTTTGTCCTGTATATAATTATCTGCTTTTCACACTGAAAACACGCTGCGGGCGTCTTCGAGTCTGCGTGGGTGGTGAGGCCTCGCCTTCAAGCCATGCTATGAACATTCTTTTGTGGGATGTGCTGAATTGATTTAACCACCTCAGCTGGTGGACGTTTGGGTTGTTTCCAGGTTTGAGCTTTGTAAATAAAGCCGCCAGGAGCATTTATTTACAAGTAAAGCACACACGAGTGCACACACACACACACGTCCCCCTTGCCTGTATAGTGAAATGAACATTTTGTTTCAATCGATACACATTTTTTTGGTCTTTTCTGAAGAAAATAGTTGCCCCATTTGTTCTATGTTTGCTTACATTTTGCAAGGTACGTATATTTTGCCAATTAACTCCAAACTCCATAGCAGAACTGAAAAAACCAGCTCCTCCCAAGACATCAGATAGGCCCTCCACCTGGTCCGGCCTTGGTGATGCCTCCACGCCAGTCCCCTCCCCTGGGGGCTGTGCGCAGCCCTTTCGTCTGAGAGCCCTCAACCCTGCCAAGTGGGGCTCCGGGTTTCCAGGGGCTTCCATGGGGAATCCAATGTGCCTGGTTCCTCTTTATCGGGGCCCTGTTGGGCGCTGGGGGGAGATGCTAGTAAGCCACCTGGCTTCGGGAGGATCCCCTCACCTCTGTGGCCCTGACGGCACATGCTCTGTCCTACCAGACTGTCTCTGCAGGGTGTCCTCCTGTGCCTCTCTGGTTCCTGCTCGGCTGGTGCGGACGGCCCCCACCCTGACACAGTGGGCCTGCACAGCCCCTACTAGAATCCTCTTGCCATGTCCAGCTTCGGCCCTCCCCCTCCCCACTCTGCCCAGTACCGCCTACCCACTCTGGGGGCTGCTTTCTCCTCTCTCCTGAACTCTGAATGTCAGAATGCTTCAGTATCTGTTCTGGTGATTTCAGGCGCATCCGGAGCACTGTGTAGACAGGCCAGTGCGGCTAGCTCCTGAGTGCAGCCCACACCCCTTCCTGGAGCCCAGACTCGCAGATCCAGGGGCCTCCTCATTTCCGCTCGATGCTGCAAGCGGCCTGACCTTACTGTGTCCCCTGCCACGTGGCGTCCCAACCTCCAGGTGGTCAGCCCAGAACCCTGGCCCCGAGACCCCTCTTCCCCCCAGGCCCCCTGTGCCTGCTGCCATTTTGCTCCCAGGCCTTGCTGGCCAGGACACTCGGGGCCCTCGTTCACTCACAGAGTCCCTCTCAAGAGAAGGGAGATGGGTGTGGGGGCTTGTCCTGAGCGCGTTCTCAGCAGCTGCAGCAGGTCTGCCATGTGCAGCCAGTGTCGGTCAAACAGGGAGAAGTTGCCAGGCGCCCACTGTGTGTGGGCCTTAGGTCCTTCAGTCCTGAGTGATCTTCCTACATCTTGTGTTGAACACACTCCTGCCCGGTTCCATCTGCTACTGTTTGGCAGTTGGACCTCTGAATGGGCCATCTAATTTTCTTTGCTTTTTTTCTCCTATTTTTGTCCCGGCTTCTGAGAGTTTTTTTCAAATCTGTTTTCCAAACCTTCAATTGTGTGTTTTACCTGCTCACATTCTTAATTTCAGGGCCCCTTTCTGCTGTTTGCAGGTTCTTTGCAGCCTCCTCTCCATACCACCTGGACACCATGGTTTTTCTTGTCTGAGGAGGTGCCTCTGTTCCTTCCAAGTTTCTGTTACCGTCTTTCTTTGCTTGGCCTCTGATTTTGATGTTAGAGATTTTGCTTAGGTGTCCTTAGTTCATGGCCACCTGCTCCTGAGAAAGACATATGACTTTGCAGAGACTGGCTTTGCTCTGGGCCATGTCTCTCTTGTCCTTGTTCTCAGTTGGTCCCTGGAGGAAAATTCCTGGAGGCAGAAGGATGCTTGTCAGCATGGGCTCCTAGTGTCCACTGGCCCAACGCTGCAATCTGAGTCTTTGGTTGTTCAACACCCTAGACATGAGCCTCTGTATTCCTAGGGCAGGTACGGGTTGGGTCGGGGGCCCAGGAGTGTCCAGCAGGTGCCCCCAGTCTGACAGAGGCACCCAAGTCCTGGGGTGTCCCAGGGCTCCCAGGCAGGGCTGGGCCACACGCCCATGTGCACTCTGCAGGTTCAGGGCCCACTTGATGTCACCGGCGGGCTGCGGGCCTCCCCAGCTCCCGGCAAGGAGGTGCCTGGTGGATGGTCTAACTGGAAGTTAGGGGAGCTCATTTATACTTGGCGAGGACTGCTTAAGCCTCCCCCGGAACTGTGCGTGCTGCCCACAGTGCACGACCACGCATCCCATCTTGGGCTGGTAGGCAAGAGCTTCCCATTTTGAAAGGTGCCTTTTAAAAAAATGAGTAGTGAGAGTCCAGCGTGTTCCCAGGTATATATCAGTCCTTGTGTTTCTTTTCCTACAAATTATTCATGTCATCTGAGCATCTGTGTTATTTATTGCAGCATCAAGGTCAAATGAATTCTCTTATTTGACCACCAGTTTGTTAAAACCACATCATATTTTACTTTGCTTCACATTTGGCTATTTCTTTATTGTACAGCTCTGTATTTTTCCTATGGTTTCTGATTGCCTTTTTTCCCTCACATGACTTTCCCTAGCCTCTCGCTGCCCTGTCTAATGCATGGAGCCCCTTTCTGCCCACAGACCTTCCCTGGGAGCCCTCCACTCTCCTGCCCATGCTGGGCGGGCTGCTCTCTCAGATCCTGTGCAGCCATTGCCCTGCGACTTGCACGGGCTGCTCTCCTGGGCTGGTGCCCCTATTTCCTGAATCCTAAGCTGCCTTCTCTTTTTTAGTCTGTTTTCGTTTACCCAGGAAGTACACCTGAGACGTAAGCTTTCTGGATTCGTGTATACCTACTACTGTTATTTCTGTATCATATGCTTGACACGGTGGTACCGAACCTACCTGCAAAACCACTACCCCAGAACTTGAACGGCACCTGCTGTGCTGTCCTTGCCCACGCGAAGAGGCTGAGAAGTGGGTGGAAAATCTGACTTCTGTTGCTTCCCCACTGACCTGGTTTTTCCCCTCCAGAGGTTTTAGGACTTTTCTCTTTGCAGTGTGGACAATATAGGGGTGGGTCTTCATGCCCACCCTGGGCAATGGTTGGATCCTTCCGGTTGAAAAACCCGTGTCCTGCATAGACTCCCTACATTTTCTTTTTAATTTTTTTTTTAGGTTAAAAAATTTTTTCTCTCTGCTCTTTATGGAGCGTCTGGTCCTGGGCTTGTCCCCTGCATTTTTACCCTCTTATCTCACATATGCCATCTCTGTCTTTATATCGACATCTGGGGAGATCTCCCTCATTTTCCCTTTTTGACTATTGGTTTTTTTTTTAGGTCTCACGGAGCCTTCATGTCCCAGAGTTCTCCCTGGTTCTCTGGCTCCGGGTAGTGTCTTTCTCATGCCCTCCTCGAGATGCTGTTGCTATTTTCCCCTGAAGTTCCCATCTGTTCCCCAATTACCTCTTGTTTCCTAGAGGGTCCGTTTTTCTGACTCCTTGTCATAGTCCTTCCCTTTGTTCAGCTCCTCCTCCCCGTGGCAGGTATTTGCGCCACCCATTTGTCTTGACGATGGAGGACTAAGCTGGTTTCCTTGGCGGACAGGCCAGGTCTTCACAGTGAAGACTCACGTCTGTGGCACACACCAGCTGTGACCCACACGCAGCCCTGTGGCAGAGGGATGGTCTTATCCTTGTTTACAGATGAGACGGCTGGGGAAACAATCTCAGGGTCACACCGTCAGCAGGGGCTGGAGCAGACAGAAGCCAGAGTCTGGTTCCAGATTCTCGCTCCTCGTGTGCGTGGTCCCCTGGTGCGGGACATCTCTGGGAAAAGGGAGAGCAAACTTTATCCAGATGCTCATGTTCCTCTGGAGGCAAGGTGTCTTTAGTTCGTGAGGTTTGTCATATCTTCCTCTTTGGTTAATTTTTCATGCAAGGCTCTAAAAGGCCTCCCTGTCCTCAAGATTAAAAGCGTGTTCAGCTGTGGTTTCATCTAGATGTTTATGGTTGCAGCATATTAAACAGTCTTAAGGCATTTGTTTTGCAGCAAGGTACAGAGGAGGGAACCCTGTTGTACTGTTTTCCAAATAACCACCAGTTGTCCCAAGCTGTTTGCTGATGTCACCACCACCATCCTTTCCTACTGCAAACTCCGCCACCCTCTTTACGTTCTGGTCTTCCTGTGTGTCCAGTACCTCTCTGTTGGTCCCCACATTACACTACACTTGGGGCCACCGTTCATGACCCTTTTTGCTTTTCCTTTTTTACGGTTATTTATATGTTTATTCTTCTAGGTGAACTTCAGAATCTCTCTGTCCAACTACATCAAAGTTCTGTGGGATTTAGCTTAAGACTGCAGTAAACTTACACATTATTTTAGGGAGAATCGAACTGGATTCTGTATTAATTTTCTATTGCCACTGTAACCAACTTAGTGGCTATAAACAACACAAATTCATTACCTTACAGTTCTGTGGGTCACAAGTCCAAAGGGGTCTCAATGGTGTCTGCAGGCTGTGTTCCATCTGGGGGCTGGAGTGGGGTGGGGAATCTGTTCTCACTCTTTTCAGCTGCTGTAGGCACCCTAATTCCCTGGCTCCTGGCCCTGTCTTCCATCTTTAATGCCAGCAGTGTCTGGCTGAGTCCTACTCTGTCTCCTTTCTGTTAGCCCCTTCCCCACTGAGGGGCATCTGTGATCACACTGGGCGCGCCTGGAAAATCCACGAGACTCTACGTTTCAAGGACAGCTGATTAGCAACCCTAACACCCTCTGCCTTGTAAGACACATTCACAGGCTCCAGGGACTGCGATGTGGACACCTCTGGGGGCCTTCATTCTGTCTGCCACAAAAATACAATCCTGAGTTTTTCTATGGAAGAATAAGTTTTCTCTGTCCGTGTCCTTTCTTAAATGTTCTTCAGTAGTCTTGTAGTTTTCTTTCTAGGGGTCCTCAAATTTCTTAGACCGTTACCTGTTATTTTGTAATTGTCACCAGTCTCTGACTGATGCTTAGTGGCACACAGGAGCTCCAGTTGAGCTTGATATCCACTCCAAAGGGTTAGTTTATTTAGGTTTTCCAGATATATCATTATATTTCCAAAAACAGTCATTTTTCCCTTTGCAAATTTATACTATTCCAGACCAGTAGTAGTGGTCATGACTATAATAGGTGTGCTTTTGGGATTTCACCAGAGTCTGAGCTGGAGCCTGGTTTAATAAAATTTGTATTTCCTGTCAGACAATGCAAAGCAGGTGATTTTTAAACACAAGGTAATGCCATGTGCAGTTTCCATTGGGAGAAACTGAGGCTATTCCTAAAGGGCCTTGTCTGGAATGTGTGTCTGAGGCTGGGCGTGCAAGCGGGTGTGCGGAGGGGCTGTGTCTAAGCACAGGTGTGCATCCAGCAGAGCCTGTGCTCACCTGAGGTCGAGTCTCTCTCCTTCCTTCCACTGCCCCTTGCCATCCACTCCCCTTCTGTCCTGCCCACCCCAGCCTCCCTTTCCTTCTAGGATCAACGGTCACCCTGGGAATTTGGTGCTCCTGGCAGGGCAGTGGAAGCTGGAGGAGGTCAGTCTGTCCTGCATGCAGTGTCGCTGAGCTGCCCTCCCTGCCGCCAGGGCTGCCCTCCCCCTCCCCATGCCTGATGTGCATCTCTGACCCCCACAGTGCCATCTCAGTGGCTGCATGATGGACCTGTTCCTGCAGATGGCCATTATCATGGGTCTGAAACAAACGCTCAGCAACTGCATGGAGTACCTGGGCCCGTGAGGACCACCCCCTTCCCAGGAGTTTCCTGCAGCCCCACCTGAGCCCCCAGTTCCCTCCCATGCTCCCCGTTTCCCAGAGCCAGCAGTTCTGAGGGGCCCTCAGCCCCCAGCACCCCTCCCTGTCGCCCCAGGTGGCTGGCCCACAAGTGTCGCTTGATGAGGGTCAAGCGGGGCTGCAGGTCCCGGGACCCAGAGCTGAGGGACTGGGAGCGCAACTACTGCCTGAACCCAGTCAACACCTTCAGCCTGTTCGATGAGTTCATGGAGATGAGTACGTGGAAGGGCCTGGGGCACGGGGCATGATGTGTCATGGGGTGGGGGGCAGGTGGGGGGCCGGGGGGGCAGGAGGAATTGACGGCCCGCCCCCCAGTGATTCAGTACAGCTTCACCACGGTCTTCGTGGCTGCCTTCCCGCTGGCCCCGCTCCTCGCGCTCTTCAGCAACCTCGTGGAGATCCGGCTGGACGCCATCAAGATGGTCCGGCTGAGGCAGCGCTTGGTGCCCCGCAAGGCAAAGGACATCGGTCAGGGCCCGACAGGGCGGGGTGCCTGGGGGCAGGGGGCCCTGGGGACCCCCAGGCCGATCCCCGTCTAAGAAGCAAGCACTCGGAGCCCCCGGCCCGCCCTCGGTCCCGCCTAGCACGGGAGTTGGCCCTAGGGGCTCAGGCCCCAGAAGGGGTTGCCGTGCACTTTGCAGGCCAGGGAGGCCCAGGTAGGACAGCTGGACTCTGAGAGCAAAGAGCCACGAGAATGAGGAGTCCAGCAGATGGCCTGTCACCCAGACTGGCCTGAGAGGGACAGGGGTCGGAAGGACAGGGCCGGGTGGTGGATGAGGGCAGAGGAGGTGAAGCGTGAGGGAGGGTCCAACCGGGACCCAGTTAAGGGACTCTTCCCTGGGCTGTGGGCCCACAAGGGGGAGCAGGCTTGGGGTCAGCTTAGGGGTTCAGGAAGGTGGGGGGCGGAGGAGACCTGGCCCCTCCCTGTCTACCTCACAAAGGAGGGGGTACAGGAGAGCAGAGGCTGCCATCCGCCAGCCCTGTCCCCAGCCTTCCTCACCAGTAAGCTGGGCCCTGCGGCCTGACCTGCCTTGGATGACCGGCGGGTGGAGGTGGGGCGGGCGGTACCAGTGGATCAGAGCCTAAGGGACCAGATGGCCTCCCCCCTGCTGTGGCCCAGGGACCTGGCTGCAGGTGCTGGAGACCATCGGCGTGCTGGCGGTCATTGCCAATGGGATGGTCATCGCCTTCACATCTGAGTTCATCCCCCGAGTGGTGTACAAGTACCACTATGGCCCATGCCGACAGGGGGCCCACCCTGCAGTCGAGTAAGGGGGTGATGCCAGTCAGCCCCTGGGTGTCCCTCAAGCTGTCCAGAGACCCATCCACAGCGCAGCTCCATCACATTGCTGGTGCCTGTCATGAGTCTGGGCCTGGGTGGCCCTGCCCTCCAGTGCTTACCTGCAGAACCTAGGGCTGGCACCCAGGAGTGCTGAGACCCCCAGTGAGGATTAAGGTCCCAGAACCAGCTGTTTTCTGAGCAGGCACTACAGGAATGCCAAATTCACGGCAGACCCTTCAGGGCCTGCTCTGCCCAAGAGGGCAGAGTTGTGTCCTTACCCAGCTCTGCAGGGAAGTGAGGGAAGGGGTCTGTGATGTGCCCCCACCAGATGTGGGTCAGTTCCAGGAGTCAGGGGCCACCCTGCAGCCTGCACCTCTCCCCTCCCTCAGCTGCCTCACGGGCTACGTCAACCACAGTCTGTCTGTGTTCTACACCAAGGACTTCCAGGACCCTGTCCGCATAGAGGGCTCGGAGAATGTGACTGAGTGCAGGTTTGGACCCCCATGGCCTCTGGGAGCCCTCTGGACTCCTGTCCCCTGACCTCGGTACTTCCCTGCCCCAGGTACCGGGACTACCGCAGCGCTCAGGACTACAACCTCTCGGGGCAGTTCTGGGTCCTCCTGGCTGTCCGCCTGGCCTTCCTTATCCTCTTTGAGGTGGGCCAGAACTGGGGGAGGGGTTTCGGGGTGGGGGCAGCTCCCTCCAGTCCTCCTCCTTGGCCCCCGAGCCCCCATCAGCCTGCTTCGGCCTCCACACTCAGCCCCTGCCCCCCGCCTCTGCCCACAGCACGTAGCCTTGTGCATCAAGCTCATCGCTGCCTGGTTTGTGCCTGACGTCCCTCAGGCAGTGAAGAACAAGGTTCTGGAGGAGAAATACCAGAGGCTCAGGGAGAAGCTGTGGTACGGGGGTGGAGCTGGGCGGGGTGGTGCTGGCACCAGGCCTGGGGTGGGCCTGGCCGCTGATCCCCACCCATCCCACTCCTGCCTCCAGCTCCCGCCCCAAGAGCACAGACGTGTAGAGGACCCAGAGCTGGTCAAGAGGGGCTGGAGCCCAGGAGCAGAGACGCAGAGCCACTGCCACCAGCTCCCACCCCAGCCATGGCTGCACATGTGTGTGGCAGTGGGGGTGGGCTGTAAGAAGGCCCCGTGCATATGGGCCCCAGCAGGCCCCTGGTTTGGGATGTCCTGAGTGGCACCTATGTCTGTTAGAGCTCAGGCTTGGCACAGCCTAACCTGAACTGAGTGATCCCTACCACCCACAGCACTGGGGAGGGGGCTTCTCATGCAGTCGCAAAGCAGGCCTGGGCCCTACCCCCATCCCACCTGACCCCACCTTTCTGGCTTTCCTCAGCCAGCAGAACTTTCTAAAATAAAACTAAACCTTTCTGTGTTAATTTCTGGACCTGTGGCTGTGTCTACCCTCAGGGCTAGATGGAAACAGGCCTGGAACGTGGTTGCCTCCTGGCTTTCTTCTGACTTTCCATGGGCTTTCAAGTGAGGGGCACCTTATTAAAGTCCTAACTCCCTGCACCTGCGCTGAGGTTTAGGGGCAGGAGTCAAGGAAGGCTAACTGTAGGGAGAGAAAGGAGCTGGGGCAGGTGACAGAACCACAAGAGGTACCCCCTGAGACGACGCAAACCAGTCAGCGAGCCTCTCCCGGCTGGTTGGGCCAGTTTGGCCTCTGCCCCCAGGCTCCGGCGGCCGCAGCTCCCGGGGCTGAGCGTTGGACAGCCTTGGGCGCAAAGTGGGACACTTGGGTCCGCCCTGGGCCCTGGCCGCTGGGCGGGGCTGCACCTGCCGCCGCCGCCGCGGGGCTGTCGCCGCTGCGCACCTGGCCCAGGTGAGCCGCCCCGCCCCCGCGGTCGAGCGGGCCCCAGGTCTCGGCAGCAGGTGAAAGGCGGCCGCGGCTCAAACCCACGGGGGTGAGTGGAGGTCGCCGGCTCCTGGGAGCCGGGACCAGGCCTGGGGCTTGGGGGAGCGGGGAGCTCCTTGCCCCGAGGAGCCTCGACCGTGGCGATCGCGGTCCTGCAGGAAGAGGCTCGGAGACGGGCCTGCTGCCCGCGTCGCCCGCAGCTTGCTCGGATCCCGGCCTCGTGGGGCTTGGGGGGCAAGGGCCGCTCCTCCCGCTCGGCCCGACGTGGGCGTGGCTTCCTTGTGACCTTCGCCCAGCTGAGGAGGAGGAGCCGGGGGCGCGCGGGCACCCACAGCGCCCCGAGCCCGGGTCCCAGGCCTGGCTCCTCCCAGGGCGCCGAGGCCGCACCGACGGACGGGCTGGGGCCGCGGCGCGGATCGCCAGGCGGAGATGCCGCCATCCGCGCGTCCCCGCCCAGCCGTGCCAGGCCTGCTCGCAGCCGCGCGCCTGTCCCAGCGCCCGCGCCCCGCTCACGGTGCGCGCCCCGCCTCGCCATCCGCGGCCCCGCGAGCGCGCCTCCAACTGGCCTGCTCACCGCACCTGGAGGGGTCTAAGTCCGGGCCACCCCCAGAAAGGCGGAGCGTGGGAGGTGCGGGTGAACGCTCAGAAAATGGGGCACGGGCAGCAGAACAGACTGGCGGGGCGGGGTAACAGGAAGCAGCGCTGGTCAGGGGTAGGGGACCCCGAGGCTCGGGGACAGCAGCCCCACTGCGCTTCCAGGGAGCCAGAGCTCTAGACCGCCCGAGGGCAGGAGCGCTGGGGCCTGTAGGCGCCGGCAGGCTCCGGGAGTAGAGCGCGGGGCGGCGCCGGGGGCGGGCTTGGCCTCGAAAGGGCTGTTCGCGGGAGTGCCTGAGGCCTTGTGCGTCTTCATGCTCACTTTGGGGAGTGTGCCTGGGGCCGAGGGAGGAGCGTCCACGCGGGGCTGCTCGGTGGAGGCACAGATGGGCACGGGAGCCAGACAGTCCGGCAGTGGCTTTGAGAGGACCAGGGCTGGTGGGACTTCCCGCCTGCTGCTCCCACGCTGGCCACTTTAGATGCTAGTGGCTTTACCCTGTGCATCAGGCGCTCTCACTGTCCCCTCCTTGGCCAGCGGCTGGGGCACCTTCGGGGAAGAGCTAGTAACAGTCCCAGTGAGATTCCAGGAGGCTCAGGGGAAGGGTGCAATCGGGCCTTCCTCCAGTTCTGCGGGACCCTGAGCCCATACTGCACCATCACTCAAGGCTCCCCAGGGCCACAGCGGGGTTTGAACCAGAGTGGATGGGGTCAGATTAAGGATGTAGGAAAGCCAGCGCTGTGTTGCGGATGCTCCACTTGGGGGCCCCTGCCCCCCCCGAGGGCAGAGACAGAGGATGAAGGGGACCCTTGCCCAACTTCTATGGGCAGCAATACCAGCCACCTTTGCTGGGCCTTGAGTCCCAGGCCAGTCTGGGTGGAGGGTGTCAGTGGTGACAAAAGGAGACGATGGCTGCCCCCCACCTGGACTGAGTCAGGCAGCCTCCTGTTTGCTTCCTTATCTGGAAAAGGGGGCACTGCCCTCCCATCCCAGCCTGTAGCTATGGTTCACATGATACCCCAGCCCCGTGGCAGAGGGCCTCATTTGGGGGCTATTCCTGGGAGATGGCCCCAATATTGTCAGCAATTTCCACAGGACCCCCCACCCCCACCCCAGCAGATCAGAGGTCAGAGACACATCAGGGTTGCTCACTTGGGGTCAGGGGAGCAACATGGAGAACCCCCACCCCTCCCCGCCCCACCACGAGTTGGTCTCATTGGAGGTGTCCAGGCAGCAGACCACACAGTACAGCTGGCCCTCTGCTTGTGTGTGCAAGACCCCCACACACCACCCTGGGCCCTAGGCCCTGGGCCCCCTACAACCTCCCCTATCCTCCAGGCCTGGCCTGCGCGGGAAGTTTGGTGCCTGGGTGGGCCGGGGCGGGCCCCAGAGGAAGGAGCCGCTTGACTCACAGTTACAGGAAGAAGCTGGGCAGGCAGGCGGGGTGAGAACCACCAGCCACCAGCAGCAGGAGGAGGGTGGGTGCCTGGGTGGGGTTTAGGTTTAGGAGAGGATGTGACTTCAAGGCCAGGAAGCTACAGGGAGTTTCTGATTAAGTACACACAAACAAAGGCCAGGTCCTCACTGCTTGGCGATGTGTCTGGGGCAGCGCTTCTACCACTGTAGACGGGGTAAGGGGTCCTCCCAAGCACACGTCAATGACCTCAATGACTGACACCCACCCAGGAGGGAAGAGCCGGAGCCAGGTGACTTCGTGCCTTCCCACAGCGGCCCTGCTGCCCTGGGTGAGCCTGTGTCCACATCCTTGGACGCCTTTCCTGACCTGAGTCCTGTCCTCGGAGTCAGGCCTGGCTGAGGGAGGCCTGCAGGGCCTGAGGCATGTATGTGCTCATGTGTGTGCAGGGGCGGGTGATGGGGGCCGTGAGTGTGCTATTGGCAGGCAAGGTGGGTGTGCAGAGCAAGATACATGGTACGGGGTGTGTGCAGATGCTCGTGGCCACACAGCCTGCCAGAGCTGTCACAAGTGTGCTCTGTGCTGGGTGTGTGGCCACAAGAGTGGGGAGTGTGCCTGTGGGCACACAGACTGAGACGGGAGCTTAGTGCAGGTGTGCATAGGGAGAGGCCTGGGGGGCCGTGCAGGGGTAGGTGTGCAACGCAGAGACTGCAGAGAGAGGACCCCTGCCCTGACTGTGCAGTTTAGCCTTAACCTCCAGGAGGGTGAGAGACTGCGTTTCCAGGGAAAGCTGGTCTTCTGATTTTGGGAAGGTACAGGGGCCCCTGTAAGTGCCTGGGAGCCACTGGGCTGGGGCACATCCTTTGGGCTCGCTGGGGAGGGGTGTGAGCTGCCTCACCTTCCACAGCACCCCAGCGGACTAGTTCACGGAACTTCCCAGGACTGTCCTCCACTCCAAAGGGCTCCTGGAAGGACCCTCCTCACCAGCCCCCTGCCTGATGCTTCACCAGTTCCTGAGGAAATTACACCCAGCTGAACCTGGGGCTTCTGGCTGTGCAGAGGCTAGGCCAGGCTGGGTCCTTGCAGCAGAAGGGTGGGGAGGCTGAGACTTGTCCCTGCAAAGCCTCTGGGGCCCTGGGGCAGGGAGTACAACCCCTGGGGGCAGCAGAGTATCTGCTCAATAGATACTTGCTGGGTCAACTGGATGGACCTGGGCGCCGGGAGGAGGGGCCCCAGGCTCTTCTGTCAGGAGACCCTCAACAAAGGCTCCCCCTTTCCCTCAACAGGGCCCCCTCCTTTCAGCCCCGGTCACTGTGGAGCTTTTTGTGTCAGAAGACATGTGGCTCATGCCTATCTATACTGGGAGGGTCCCAGACCTTATGTAGGAGAGTCACCTATGGGTGGGATGGGGCCTCCCATGGGGAACTGGATAGGTGAACAAAAGTGTCTTGGCTGGGAAATGACAGATGAGTGGGGGAATGAGGGCATGGGACCTAGAAAGAGGGGTGCCCTGTGAGCCCGTTGGAGAGGACTCGGTCCAGCTTGGCCCCCATGGGGCCCTCCTGCCTCCAGCCTAGGCCTGGCTCAGCCTCAGGCACATGGGTCCAGAACCAAACCATGGCTGGGAGCATGGCTGAGTCAGGCCACGTGGTACTCACCATGTTGCTCATGCCCCCCAGGCCCAGCCTGCCTGAGTGCAACCTGTACTGCTGCAGCCCCTTACATGAGGCAGCCTTTTCCCAGGGAACAAGAGGAATGAGGCCAACTCCAGGCCTCCTGAGGGGTGCCAGGGTTTACCTGCCCACAGGCTCACCCTGGGCTGTCATGGTGGCCCTGGGGCAGGTGAAGGTCAGTCCAAAGGCCCCTCCCAGCCCCCTGGGCTGTGCAGGGCAGTGCCCATTCCAGCTGTATGAGGTGCTTAGAGCTGCTGTGCTGGCGTCCTGTTCCCCCACCAGCATCTATGAAGCAGCTGGTGCAGGGTCTGTGCTGGCCACAGTGTGGTCTGTGGCCAAAGTTACATGTTAACTCATCCTGTTCTTGTTTAACTTGCTCCCTGGGGATGGCAGCAGCCTCTGCCCTGTCCTGGTGCCCTGACTGACCAGCCACAAGGACAGAGAGTGAGTCCTGCTCAGCCCTTGGGGGTCCAGTCTGCTCGGCCAAGGAGCCCCGTGGAGCCAGGGGTGGACCAGTGCCCAGCGTGCCCAGAGAAGGCCCCAGCCAGACCATGGCAGGTAGATGGGTCAGAGAAGGACAGCATGGGCCCCACTTTTATCTGCCCTTGGGCTGGCTCCGTGCTGGATGTAGCCTGGGCTCAAAGGCTTCCATCCCCCCCTCCCCCATGACCTGAGGTCCTGACCCCACTGTTAGGATGGCCCCTGAGCCCTCTCCTGCCCAAGACCTCTAGGGCTCAGGGGGGTCAGTAAAGCCCAGGGATACCGGGAAGGAATGATGGTGGGGAGCTGCAGGGAGAGGTGGCCTGGAGGCTGCACTACCATGAGGGTGGTGGTCCTCTTGGTAGGGTTCAGCACCCTGATTTAAAGTTGAGGAAGTTCAGGTGTCAGGATGGTGGGAGGCTTGCCCATGGTGAGGTCTAGAGTGTCCTGCAACCACTCGTGTCCCAGGTGGGAGGTGCTAGCACATCCAGCACCTGAGTCCCCAAACCACCAGTCTTCATACTCGCTGCAGCAACCCCAGTAGAGGCCCCTGGGTGAGGGGTGGAGAGCTGGGCCCCTCACCTGGGGTGGACAGCACAGCTGTGAGCAACAGGTGCAGGAAGTGTGGGGGCCGGGCTCACGTCCTGAGTGAACAAGCAGCCATGTGGGCCCGGCGGCTGAGGGGAGTCAGCTCAGTCATGACTCTAGCCACTGCCCCCCATGCCAATACCTTCTCTGAGGACGAGCTAATGCTGGGGGAGGTTGAGCCGAGTGCCAGGTTCTGTCCCCCGTGGGATTCATTGATGGACATGGTGTGGCCATTAAGCAACATGCGCCACTGGCTATTTTGTTCTTCCTGGCCCACAGACTATTTGTGGGCAGTGGGAGCCCGGAATCCTGTGCATTGCAAGGATCTACCCAGACCTCTCTCTGCAGGTGTCTGTGACAGGGCCCCCACCTTCCTCTCCCCGTCCGGAAACCAGGTCCTGGGGCCTGCCCTCGGCAGTGTAGTTGCTCTGAACTGCACAGCCTGGGTGGTCTCTGGGCCCCACTGTCCCCTGCCCTCTGTGCAGTGGCTGAAAGATGGGCAGCTGCTGGCCAATGGAAGCCACTACAACCACCATGAGGACTCCTGGTAAGAGCCTGGGGTGTCCAGGGTCAGGGACCACCCTGGGTATACCCATGGCCAGTGGCCTCTCTGACGTACACCCTGGTCTGTAACCGCCTGGACATGGGCAGCATGACACTCTGGAGACAGTCTGAGGGTTGGTGAACACAGAGACAGATGGGCCCTGTAGACATTCATCTAGACCACCCGAGGCCATGGGGGCCAGCAGAGTCTGACAGCCTGAATTAGGCCTTGACTATTGGGCCGAGGCTAGGATCAGAGGACCCCCAGGGCCCAGACCCAGGATGCAGGTGACTGGCCAAAGCAGACCCACGCCCTCTCCAGGCTCCAGCCACTTGTTTCAGTTTATGACCCAAGGACTTACCAGGAAGCCCACATCTGCAGCCTCTCTGGGTGAGCCCCACATAGTGGGGGCTCTGGGGTGTTCACTGATGTTCTTGGGCCTCAGGTGAGAGGAGGGGGCCTGGTCTCTGCAGGGTCAAGGCCAATTTGTCAGAGGTGTTTGTGTCCAGTATCATGGAGGTCAACCTGACCAGTGCTGAGAACTTCGGGGCTTTCACTTGCTCCGTCCAGAACGTCAGCTCTTTCTCCTTCACTCTTTGGAGAGCTGGTGAGGGGGTACACTGAGGTAGGGGGCAGGAGGGGGGCCTGGGGACCTTGAGGCTTGGAGGGTGCTGAAGGGTGTGGTGGTTCAGGCTGCAGCTCTGTCCCCAGGCCCGGCGGGCCACGTGGCCGCAGTGCTGGCTTCACTCCTAGTCCTGCTGGCCCTGCTTCTCGCGGCGCTGCTCTACGTTAAGTGTCGACTCAATGTGCTGCTCTGGTACCAAGACGTGTACGGGGACGTGGAGATGAACGGTGCGTAGGCCAGGAGGGAGGTCGGGGGTGTCAAGTACGGGGCCTCTGTAGCTCAGTTCTGGGACTGCTTGTCCCAGTAATTGGGGGCGTTCTGGAGGTGGAGTCGAGGCCTTAGTCCCTGGAGAGGCTCTGGTAAGCAGTTAGGAAAGGGGGTGTCTCCAGGCCTTGGAGGGCATAGGGGCAGCGGAAGCAGGGTGGGCAGCTAGTTTAAGGGCTGGTGCAGTCGTGTGCTGGGGAGAGGTCGAGGCACGGCCCGGGGGAGGGGCTTGAGCCCCAAGCGCGCGTGGGCAGAGGGTCAGGGGCCCTGGGCAGAGAACGGCCGCTCTGACCCGCCGC